TTTTTTTTACTTTTAAAACAATCCGAAGAGCAGTAAAAGTTGCGGATGCTTTTTACCAACGAGTGGTTGCTTTTGGAAAAATGCCATTACTGAGATCACAGCAAAATGCCCGGCCTTTCGCAGTTAGATTAAATTTATCGGTCTTTTTTTTTGTATTGAAACATTCATTCAAAATGCTTCAGATTGAAGAACTTAACACTGGCAGGAAGGAAGTAGAATCGCCAGATTCATCAATGGATTCCCTTGCTAGTGGGTTAGAAGAGGAGGAGGCTTCGAGAACTCCAGAATCCGAGTTATCAAATTCACCGGAAGATGTTCGCGCCTACATGCGGAAGGAGGAATTATCAGAAAGTCAGGAAAAAGAATTACCGAATTCACCGGAGAACAACGTTGTCGGCATTCGGAAGAAAGAAAAAACATCAGAAAATCCGGAAGGAGAATCGCCATTTTTATCGAAAGATTCCCGGGCCAAAGGGCCAAAAAAAGAATTCAGAAGCCTGAAAAATGATAAGTCGAAAGATAATTCTGTGGACGGAGTGGACGAGAAGAAATCAAAAAGCCCGGAAATGAAGTCATCTGACTTACCAAAAGAGCAAATGCAAAATGTGGAAGCATCAGGAGGTTTGGCGAATGATGAAAAGGTTAGATTTGCTTGGGATTCAGATAAAAATTAAGGCGAGCTACTGTTTGAGAGATTAAGAAGGGTTGAAACACAGACGTCACCCAATGCAGATACCGGCTAGCTTAAATGAGGTTGTAAAATTTGGCTTCTTCGCAGAATATCAAATAAACATAGTTGATTATTCCATTCCTCTTTTCTCATGTCGCTGCACTTTGCCAGCAGCAGTGCTACACTTTCCGATACTTATTCAGATAAAGATCGAGAAGAGCCACTAATTGTGACCTTCGACATTTTGGCTTCCAAGATCAACCTGGATGCTACAATTGGCTTATTATTGAGATAGGGCCTTTTAATAAAAGGAAGAGGGAGGAGCGGGGGAGCCTAATTTTAAAGCATGTCTGGTTAGAAATACACTGGGAAATTGAGACTTTGAAACCCCTGTTCAAAAA